TTACTTTTTTATGTGTTTAGTACTGTTTTCAAGGCTGCACTTCAAAGAAATGAAATTGTCTAGAGCTGTTTTAAATAAATCTAAGTCTCTAAGTCTAACATAGTGACATTGCAACATCGTGATATTATCGCGGTATTGCAATGTCACTATATATTCCGATATTTTTCCATCTATTGAAATCAAATGTATAGATAAAAAAAGCAAGTGCTGTATATGTTCATCATAAGATATTGATAATTTAGTTATTTTGACATCCATGTTGTCAGTCAACGTCTGCCTCAACTACAGATATGATGCTGCGCCGCACAGCGAAAGGGCTCCACCGTGTCATCTGCCAGAGCAGTGGTGCAGAGGTAGCCCATTTTCCCTTAAAGTTTTAGATAAAAAATGTTTTTTTTTTTGTTTTTTTTTAAAGCGATACTAGGAACCGGAAGATCTATATTATATTGGGCACCCGAAAATCGCAATATATCGCCAAAATGAATTTCTTCCGCACCCCAAAACCTAACAGCTGTCCAGAGAGCTACTCACAGCTTTCACTAGGAAGGTGAGATTTAAAAAAAAAAAAATGCTAAAGAATTGCTGGATCCAGGCAAAGTTTCTCATTATGCTCAAAGAAAACAACAATGTTTAAAGAAGTTCAGGTTAAGCTGGAAGAGTAAAGTACCAACTCATAACCAGGATCTGTTTAATCTTTACCTTTGCATCCATTACAGGATGTTACAAACTTTGAAACATCTCAGTGTGTGCAGATTCAAATGCACCAGATAAAAACAAACTATCTGAGTTCATAAATGTAGTTCTTTTTTTCTACAGCTGCACACCAAATGGTAATTAAATGCAGGAACTATGAAGTTTATTTTGAATAAGTGGTTTTAGAATAAAAAAAAGAAGGAGCAATTAGGCAGCGTAAAGCTCTGTGTGCTGATACATGTTTTCAGCGTTGGTTGAAGCAGACCATGCATGAAAGGAGCTTTATTTCAGTTGCCACCCTGCTGCCTCCATTCAACCTCTTGCCCCCCCAACCCCTTCCCCACCCTGCCTCCCCTCCTCCTCTTCATCACCACCAATAATTTTCTCAACTCATTTTTTTTTTCTTTTTGTCCTGCCTTCCTGTGGCCAATGCTCAGCCAACCATTCCTTTAAGACAACGGGCACACTATTGTTCCCCCACCTGGGTGGAAAAGACACCCCACCCCTCCATCCACACACAATTGCGAGCACACCCACCCACCCACCAGTCATTCAGCATAGAGGTTAAACCCAGTTCACCGTGCCTTGATTTTGTTGTTGTCGACAGCAATGCAGATGATCTGAAAGAGCTTTGAGACAAGAAGCAGATTATGGAGGCCAAGGAAGGAACTACATCGCAGGATTCAGTATAAAAAATGTTGTGTCTTCTTGGGGCCATACTGCTAACTTTTCAGCTAATCCGATTAGCAACAGGATTGGGGGTGGGGGGTGCGGATTTGGCTTCCAAAGCCAACCTGGGACCAGTCTTATCTGTTCCTGTAGTGACTTTATGCAGACCCAACACACATGACCCATGATCTGCAGACCCTGACAACCAAACCTGCTGCCTGTCGGCTGGTGCTGAATACATTTCTGTCTGTCTGTGTCGGCGTGATACACAGATAATTCATTCAGAAAAAAAAAATCCTTTTTTTCCTGTATTTTTTGGCAGGAACTGAAGCTGGACAATATGTCAGGTTGTCCATAAGAGGGAAAAAAAAAGACAAAAAAAAAACTCAATAGAGCTAAAACTGCTCAGATTAACACCATTAAATATAAAGAAGAAAACATTAAGTTCAAACCAAATTACAAAACAATTCAAAGAGTTGAAGAAAAGAAGAAAAAACACCAGGACAAATACAAAACAAAAACACGTCCAGTTTTAAGTCAGGATAATCCCAACCA